ACTCTCTGTAACTAATGCTTTATTAAATGACATTCTGGCTACCTGTTTTCTCATTGTCTTGATATCAAATGTGGCATGGTAATAATCTTCGGAGAACCTTGACGTTCTACCAAAGAACAAATCTAAGATACTGATGTTTTCCCAATTAATTGAACTGTGATTATCAGCTCATCTACGTTGCCTGAAAACAGATCTTTGGCCCAATAGGTACTTTTTCTCTCCCTGACAGTTTCAAATTTAAACCCATTCCCTGGTTTAAATTTTTCAGCCAAATCTCTAATTCTCTTTGAGCAATTCTTATAGATGTGGCTTCTTAAACCATTTGTGAAAGAGAAGTCTAAACTTAAACCAACTTCTGTGCATAGAATATTCTTCCCTCATTAATGTCTGTTATAATTCTCTTAAGTTTGTTACCTCTGTTTATTGGTTTATTGGTTGGAGGAAAAAAAAATCTAGTCACTATTGACTTCATCAGGAAAAGATCTGTAACATATTGGAAGCATCGGGCCCATGTTTAAATATCATTCCAGGACCTGCTGGCCATGGAAGGTGAATTTGTAGCATGGTCAAACAAGTTGATTGTCAGCCTGTAAATCCTTTAAATCAGGCAGTAAGTGTGGGAATGTTTCCTGGACACCCATCCTGCAGAATGCAGTGGCAAATCCACTTTGCTTTTAAGTATGAACAAAACTAATGGTAGTTCAAGGTCCAAATCTCAGAAAACCAAGAACAGGAAAAAGACAGGGGACAGCTTTTAAAGTGCTTCTTGACTAAATAGTCATTGGGGACAGGCAAAAATGTGAAATTGATGCCACAATCAGATCAACCATGAGCATATTGAATGATGGGGCAAACCAAAAAGCAGAATACTCCTAATTCATATGCTCATGCATTCAGTCATGATCCATAATCTTGACCACATATTTGGTTGTCTGTTATTAAGTGCTGTAATACAGAAAAGTCCTAGCCTTTTCAAACAAAACAGAACATGAAGACAATAGAACTGTAGAAGCACAATTGATAAATCAACATTAATGAAAAGAACAAACAGGTTTTCATCACTGAGTGCATTGCTTCTGAGCTGTAAGAATTCTGTGATTAGAAGTGGGAAGAATGAAAACAGAAGAAGAATTTAAATGGATCCAGAAGAAAATAAGAAAAATAGGAAAGAAACACGAGGGGAAACATTAGCGGACATGATCAATGTTTTACAGGATAGGAAGGAAAATAAACAAAACACGTGAAATATCTGTGTGGCAGCGGAGATCATTAACTCCAAAATGGAAATGAGAAACCAGTGAAGCAGAATACTAATTCTTAGTCAGAATACTAGCTGGTGAAGGATCCTGCACTATTTGTATAGGCTTGGTTCTCTTTTTCTCAATCCTTTGGACTCCAGGTATTTCTTTGCTATGTTATGGTTCCAATTAGACTTCTGAGCATTTTTAGCCTTTCTGTCATGCATTTCCACTAAATCTTTACAGCGTTTTGATGCACAAACCCTGGAGCTTTTTTGTTCTAGACTGTAATCTGTCATCCCTAGCAACATTTTAATGAATATACACTGCACCTCAACTATCCTTCCTAATTTACAACAGTGATTACACTAAACAATGGCTGTAAATTACTTTGGAACATCCTTAGACAGTAAAAAGAACCATGTAAATGCAAGCCTGGCATTGCTTCTGATATTTAGATGTCCAAATTTATACACAGCGCTTTGTGATGTGATTAAGTTATGTACGGGTTTTGTTTTTACTTGTGGGATGTAGGCATCACTGACTCAGCCAGCATTTATTGCCTATCCTAGTTGCCCTTGAAAAGGTAGTGATGAGGTGTCTTCTTGAACTGCTTCAGTCCATGTGCAGTAGGTAGACCGGCAATTCCATTAGGGAGGGAATTCCAGGATTTTCAGCCAATGACCCTGAGGAACAGTGATACATTTTGTCAAGTCAGGATGATGAGTGGCTTAGAGGTGAACTTGCAGATGGTAGTGTTCCCTTTTCACCTTACATTCTTGCATATTAATCTATATCTTTTAAAAGTCCTAACAATTTGCATTTAAATAACCTTTTAAGATCGTAAAACATCCCAAGATTCCAATCTTTTTATTTAGTTTTAAATTATTTGCCCTTGTCACTAACAAGTTTTGTCAATACTGATGTACGTCTGTATGTTTTGTTGGCACAGAGAAAGAAAGAACAGTGCAGAATCCAGACTTTTGCATAGCAACATAAAGCTAAAGTTTTGTACTCGGTAGCTAGCTGAAGTGACTTTACTTTATTTCCAAGCCAGTTTGCTGCTGCTTCACTTGCCGGGTTATATTTACATTGTGTCCATCTTGGACAACTGGTTGCACTCTTGTATCAGAGACAGCAAGTTGTAGGTTCAAATCCCACTTCAGGAACTTTCACACAAAATCTAAGATGACAGTATTGGATGTGGCACCTCGATGCCATAGTAAAATAAGACTTTGCCTTTTTGGATGGAGTAAAAGGTTTCATGGCAAGATTGTAAGAAGACATTGTCCTATTTCTCGACTGCTATCTCTCAGATTATTTTGTAATTCCCTCTCTCATTTCCTATATTAGACACTTAACTGAATTCAAAATAGTGCCATTGGCTGTAAAATGCTTTATGACATCCTGAACATGTTAAAGTCACAGTATAAATTCTTCAATGGGTTATCACATAGTAAATCCATGTCTAAGGTATGGAGTCAAGGGAGCAGTAACAGAATGGAAGGGAGTGGAGAAGAGTTCCACAGATTCTTGACCCTCCGAGACAGAAAAAGAAAACTCCTCTTTTCTGTCTTTAATGGCTGACCTGTGTTTTTAAACTGTTTCCCCATGTTCTCATTGCTTCCACAATTGGAATGCATCCTGCTCAGTCCGCTCAGAATCTTATACATTTCAGTACGATTGCAACTCATTCTTTTAAGGTCCAATGGATACAACCCTAATCTATTTAACTTTTCTCATTTGATAACCTGCTCACTTTTTCCCAGGAATCATCTAGAGTCATAGAATCATATTTGAGTGAATCTTTTCTGAACTGCTTCAAATGCAGTTATGTCATTTCAACTAAGAGACCAAAACTCTACATAGTGCCGCATATATGGTTTCTTCAATCCCAGTAAAACTATAGCAAAACATCTGTTACTGGAATTTACAATAATGTTATTATACAGCTTGGTCTGTCTGTGTCTCTGCCACGAATATAATTATACTATAAATTTTTTAATTATGAGGAGCAATGATAGGTGGGCCTGTTCTAAGAATATAAGAAGTAGGAATTGGAGTAGGCCATTTGGCCTTTTATACCTGTTGTGCCATCCTGTGAGATCATTGACAATCTTCTAACTGAAACGTACATTCCCATATTTTCCCCATTCTCTTAAACACTTTAGTATGCAGAAAACTATTTACCCATGTCTTGAATATACCTCATTACTGAGCAGATACAGCCTTTGAGGAGAAGAAAACTTTTCTTGTTTTGGTCCTAAATGACCCACGCCTTATTATGAATTGTGACCCTCTGGTCTAGATTCTCAATTCTGGAATTAAGAATGCGTAATACTTTATGTTCTTGATATAATTCCAAATTTATTTGTTTGTTTTTAAAGTTGAAATGTAACACATCTCATTGATTTTACTCAACATTCTTATTCATTCTGGTAATATTGAACACTTCCCTGTTCAAGCTGTAGTCTTTTCATACTTGTAGAAAGTTGTACATAGCAGTTAAATATGAAAGTTGTGGCTCAATGGTTCACTGTTACCAATGTATCAGAGGATCATGGTTCAAGCTCCATTCCAGAGACTTAAGTATGCAGGCTAAGAGAGTTCTGCAGCGTCAGAGGTGTAATCTTTTATGGAGATGCTGAACTGAGCTACCGTCTGCCCTTTCAGGTGGATATCAAAGCTCCCATGGAACTATTTGAAGAGAGCAGGGAAGTTTTCCTTAGTATCCTAATAAGTATGTATTCTTCATTCAACTGCAGGCAAAAGACTTCATAGCAGAAAGTCTGAAATAAAAACAGAAACAGCTGGAAACACCCACTAGGTTAGGCTGCAATTGTTGGATGGTGAAATAGAGTTAAGGTTGATGAACTCTCATTTTCTGTTTTTATTTCTCCAGAAGAAGTTATTTAATCATTTCACATGTTGCTGTTTGTAGGAGCTTCTGGGTGCAAGCAGGATGCATACCCTTTAGTGCAACAGTGCATACTTCAAAATACTTGCAGTAAGGTGATTTTGGAAGCACTGAGGTTGTGAAAGTTACTATATATGTGTAGGTACTGCCTTCCTTTCGTCTATTCTTTTTGCCTTTCCTCTCAAATTTTCTTTTTCTTGAGTTACCCACTTTCTCTCACTTGTGCTTTTGCTTACCTTGTCTCTCTCCATTTTTTTTCTATCTGTCTTATTTTCTCCCTCATGAATTACAAAAGCCAAGTATATTTTGAGCAATTTTGGTTATCTTTGACTCTAATCTGCCTGCGAGGTAACTCGAAAATTAGACCCAGTTCACCCTGGTATTTGTTATAAATATTAATTTCAGTGATATCCGTTCATGAACTCATCATCCATTTTTATTTTGAAGTATTGTTATATTGGTGTTGGTATGCCTCAAGGTTGTTGTCTGGAATGTCTCACCTTGATAACACAATGAATTTTTCATTCATAAACACTGACATTTTTATTGCCCCGAGGCTTTTCTGTTAATTTGTGATGCTTGATCAACAAATACAAACTTTTAAAAACTAAACATATACTGTCAAACTTAGTTTGTATCATTGCAATTAAACTGGAATGCACAGGTTGAAATTAAGGTAGAATTATTTTACAAACCACGCAAAATTTAGTACATTTGAGTCCTACTCTGTTTTTCATTTTCCTTCCAATTTAGGAAAGGATCTACTTTGTGGACTTTTAATATCTTTATTAAATATAATTCTGCTTTAAACTGAAAGCCTTAAATAGTCACATGAACAAGTGCTAGTTGATTGTTTCCATATGAGTAAACAGTGTGGTGAATGCGGCAAACTTAGAAAGAGGTTGCTCTCAACTTTACCCAAATGCATTCGACCAACTTCCTCCTAGTGATTATATTGGAGTTGAGTTCCATTATTGTGCTTAGACCAACTCACTTTGAAGTTGATGGCTCTGGAACCATTGCTTTCAACTGGCCAAACTGAAAATTATAATTAAACAAATTCGAATGCAATTTGGGCCTCCTTTTAATTACTTGTGCTTATAGAGATTTCATCTGCTATGCAAAAGACTCCTCTACGGTTACAGGAATGTTCCAGTTCAAAGTGTTGTTGCAAAGCCGGTAAACTGTAGATACACTTGCTTTCCTTTTCATGTAAAGGCGAAGCTTGTCTCGGAACGTTTCCCCGAGAAAGCTATAAATAATAGGATTCAGACAACTGTTAGAAAAAGCAGCCAGGTTGACAATATGACGTGTAAGTGGGTAATAGTGGCCCATTGATTTCTTGAGAGAAACTGATGAATCGTTTGTGCCTTGTAGGAGCTGAAGGCTGATGAAGACATTTTCAGGTAACCAACAGATAAAGAAAACCAGAACAACCACAACAATCATGCGAAGGGCCTTCTGACGTCTTGGCCAAAGGCGGTTGTGCTTCTGGGCTTTTGTGAGAATCCGTACAATCAGTGAATAGCAGAGTCCAATGATGAAGAAGGGTATGACAAACCCAAGAGTTACCTCCAACCATTGAATCTCTGTAACATCTGCAAAGCAAAAGTGAACTTCCCCTGTGTGACGCACTTGTACCACAGCAAAAGGCATCATTGTAGCCAGGATAGATGTCAACCAGATCAGGCCACAGCTCCATTTTGCATGCTGCAATGTTCGGAGTGTGCCAGACTTCATCGATTGTGCCAGGGCAAGGTACCGGTCGAAGCTCATCCATGTGAGAAAGAAGATACTGCTGTACATGTTGATCTGCAGGAACAGGGACATGAAGGTGCACAGAATGGCTATGTCATAGTACTTGTCATTCAGGTTGAAGACCTCAATGAGGGAATCTGCTACAAGGATCAGGTCAGCTACAGCAAGATTTACAAAATAGAGATCTGGGATGGTCATTTTCTTATGATCATTCAAGTTTACAACCAGGATTAATCCATTTCCAATGAAGCCTATGGGAAATAGAAAAACTGTATACAGGCAAGATAGAAAGAGGCTGATACTGTAAAAATGGCTGTCACTTTGGTTTTCAGTTATATAGCTACAGTGTAAGGTTTCATTACAGTAACTGGATTTATTCAGTTCACTTTCATTGGAAAATAGTAATAATTGTGAGATTAGTTGCAATTCCATCATCAAAGGCAGTAATAATTTTTTCAAAAATTATGTTTTGAATGATCTATAAATAATGCTTTGGTGTTTTAAGTATTTACATTTGTCTATATTGATGCATTCAATCAATTCATCCCAATGTGTCAAAAACGCTTCTGCCATACTGTATGGTAGCATACTTTATCTGCTGTTTGGAGAATCCAGTGGGACACAACTTGGGCCCTGCAGTGGCATTGTGGTTCTGGTCAATAGATGTAGTTTACTTATCTCCAGTACAAAATACATCTCCTTGGTGTTCATTCAGGTGTGTTTACTCGTTTAGCAGTACATGTTGTAGAAAATTGAGACTTTGGCACTGGAAAGCTGTGTGTATCTGCACTGGTTGCTTTTCTGCCCTTTGACTGCAGATCACTGTTCTTAATAGTTGAGGCCAAGCACTTGGGCTGCCAGGTAAGAAATTCAGACCAGATACTTGCATTTGCTTGAGGTAGTCAAGTCCCACACATCAGGCATTGGTGTTTTGGTTTAGCGGGTGCAGCGGTGACTGCATTTCACTTATTTGGTGAGCTGAAATCTTTCCCCTTTGCTTTGTATTGGCTACCAATCAATAATTGGCTGTAAATCCAATCAGACCATAAAATCCCAGGGACCATCCTGCAGTTAATAGAAAGGCGAGGGAGAAAAGTAAAATATGGATCAACATATCTTATACATGCAATAAGACACTTCCTCATCAAAAGGGAATACAGTAATATGTAATTGAAAATCTTTTTCTATTAATTGAAGATTAATCTGGACATGCATTTCAACATTTGCTAAAAACATACTGTTCAACTGTATTAGCAAACTGAATGAATAATGATGTATCATTTTATGTCCTGTACTTGAATAAAATTTAGATACTGTGATGTGCACAGCAAAGAAATTTCAAACAGGGTAAGAACCTAATATTGAAACTTCCAACAGCAAGAAAAGACTGCATTTATGTAACTCATGTTAAATGGGCTTGGCTTGGAACTGTTCTGTAAGGAAAGAAAGTTGATCAATTTTTACTGTAAATTTCAGTTTAATATAGGTAACTTCTTTCCGTTTAGCACTTAAACTATGGTACAATCTCTTTAGATGGGAAATAACTTGAAATTAAAGTGGTATTTGTAAACATTGAAACACAATTATGTTTGCATCTGTCATTTATGCTAATTATCCCTCTTAATACTGAAGGAGAGTTTCAATAAAGAACTGAAAGATAGCTGCTAAAATCAGGAGTTTTCTTTTAACCTAATTAATACTCTGAAAACTGCAGTAATGTGGAGATTGTCTTTAGTCTTCTGTCATCTTGAAATGCTGAATTGCATTATTTATGTGGTACTTTACTTTGCTTGAGTGTTTTTCATTTGTTTTCCTCTCTTAGGAGCAGTTACAGATATTGCATGATTAAGGTGACATTTTTCGTAGTGTCTCCCATTGTATTTTAATTTCTGTTAACTTTCTCCTGTTATTTTTGATACAGGGCTGTTAATATAGTGCAAAGTTATGACAAAGCAACTGATGATGTGCAGACATTCATAGCTTAAAAAAGGCACATCATATCTTCCTTTCATAAACAGTGGAAGTTTAAACACACACTCGGATAGGAAATAAAAGTGCACAGTATGGTGATTGCCTTTTGATAAGGTCAGAAATCACATGACTCCAGGTCTCCAGGTTATAGTCTGACAGGTTTATTTGAAAACACAAGCTTTCGGAGCCTCTCTCCTCCTGTTGTTAGTGAGAGAGATAGTATCAGACACAGAATTTATAAGTAAAAGAGCAAAGGTTCACACCAGTGATGAAGATGTACTAAACAAACCTAAGATGCTGTTAAATCTTTAATCATTTAGAAGGTTTCAACTGATTAATATGTATATGTAAAACCCAAATTCCTTTGGAATCGCAGTCCTGAGAGAACTAAAGGTTTTATCAGTGTAAAGAAGAGGCAACATTTTATGTCAGATAGTGCATATTAGGTGTGAGACCTTGTTTAGAATCTGTTTGTGTTTTGGTTTGGAGTCAGACAGGTTTTATTTCTGAAGTAGGAATTTATAAAACACCACATTGACTCTCTGTCTATAAATTGGGTGCTTTCTGAACAAAATAGAATGTATCTGCAAATACAAATTCACCCCAAAGATTCACAGGTGTGTGTGTGTGTGTGTTTGTATGAGAGAGAGAGAGAGACAGAGAGACAGTGTGTTTATGAGATGATCTGTGCGAATGTGTATGAGACTGTGTTTGTGTGAGTAGTGTGTGTGAGTGTATAGTGTGGTGGGGTCACGTGTAGTGCGACATGAACCTAAGATCCCGCTGGAGGCTGTCCTGATGGGCACCGAACTTGGCTATCAGCCTGTGCTTGGCGACTCTGCATTGTTGTGTATCCCGGAGTCCACCTTGGAGGATGTTTACCCGAAGATCCGAGGCCAAATGTCCTTGATCGCTGAAATGTTCCCCCACTGGAAGGGAACATCCCTGTCTGGCACAGTTTCCATTCATCTGTTGTTGTAGCATCTGCATGGTTTGCCTATGTGCCATGCTGTCTGTCTCTATCTCACAGACGCGCACACACAGACACACACACTCATTCTCTCATTCACACTTACATACACGCCTCTCGCGCACGCTCGCGCTCTCTCTCGCACATGCTCATGCTCTTTCGCACACACTTGCACTCTCTCTCTGTCTTGCGCGTGCACACATTCTCTTCGCATGTGCGCGCGCGCGCACACACGTGAATCTATGGGGTGAATTTGTATTTGCATTTTATTTTGTTTAAAAAGCACACAATTTATAGATAGTCAGTCAATGTGATGTTTTACAAACTCCGACTTTAAAAATAAAACCAGTCTGACTCCAAACGAAATCACAGATTGTAGACAAGGTCTCACACCTAACGTAAGAGATAACAAGGTGTAGGGCTGGATGAACACAGCAGACCAAGCAGCATCAGAGGAACAGGAAAGCTGATGTTTCGGGCCTAGACCCTTCTTCACCTAACATGCATTGATTGACCTAAAATGTCGCCTTTTCTTTACACTGATAAAACCTTCAGTTCTCTCAGGACAGTGACTTCAAGGGAATTTGGGGATTTGCATATACATATTAATCAATTAAAACCTTCTAACTGATTAAGGATTTAACAGCATTTTAGGTTTGTTTAGTACATCCTCCTCATTGGTGTGACCCTTTGATCTTTTACTTATACCACCTCTCTCACTAACACCTCAAGAAGGGTCTGAAAGCTTGTGTTTTCAAATAAACCTGTCGGACTATAACCTGCTGTTGTGTGATTTCTGACCTTGCCCACCCCAGTCTAACACCGGCGGCACCACATCATGCCTTTTGATAAATAGGTGTTATGCTTACAGAGAGTAATTACACCACTATGTAAAAACATGATGAAGGCCATAAAGGATTTTGCTGCAGGAGTTTGTAAGGCTTATATCTAATGGAGAATTTGACAAGCAAGTCTAAGAAGCTGGAAGATTTCCTGAGCAACCACTGTTTATGGTTGAGGTAAGGAATGATTTGCTTGGAATTACGCAACGTGGTTTGCTAGTAATACAACCGAACATAGTTGGCACCTTTTTGTTGTAAAAAAGCATTAGTCCTTGTCCACCTTCATGTCAATCTAACTGAAAACTACAAGTCCCACATAATTGCTGATATAACATGGTGTAGAGCTGGATGAACACAGCAGGCCAAGCAGTATCAGAGGAGCAGGAAAGCTGATGTTTCAGGTCTGGACCCTTCTTCAGAAATGGGGGAGGGGAAGGAGATTCTGAAATAAATAGGGAGGGGGTCGGAGGCGGATGGAAGGTGGATAAAGGAGCAGATAGGTGGAGAGGAGACGGACAGGTCAAGGAGGCGGGGATGGAGTCAGTAAAGGTGACTGTAGGTGGGGAGTTTGGGTGGGGATTGGTCAGTCCAGGGAAGACGGACAGGTCAAGGAGGCGGGGATGAGGCTGCTAAGTAGGAAATGGGGGTGGAGGTTGAGGTGGGAGGAGTGGATAGGTGGGAGAAAGGATGGACAGGTTAGGGAGGCGGGGACGAGCTGGGCTGGTTTTGGGATGCGGTAGGGGGAGGGGAGATTTTGAAGCTTGTGAAGTCCACATTGATACCATTGGGCTGCAGGATTCCCAAGCGAAATATGAGGTAATGTTCCTGCAACGTTTGCGTTATGGCACTGGAGGAGGCCCAGGATGGACATGTTGTCCAAGGAGTGGGAGGGGGAGTTGAAGTGGTTCGTGACTGGGAGATGCAGTCATTTGTCGCGAACTGAGCGTAGGTGTTCCACAAAGTGGTCTCCAAGCCTCCGCTTGGTTTCCCTGATGTAGAGGAGGCCACATTGGGAACAACGGATACAGTATACCACATTAGCAGGTGTGCAGGTGAACATCTTGGGGCCTGGGATGGAGGGGGGAGATGTAAGCGCAGGTGTAGCACTTCCTGCGGTTGCAGGGAAAAGTGGTGGGACTGGTGGGGAGTGTGGAGCGGACAAGGGAGACATGGAGAGCGTGGTCCCTCCGGAAGGCAGATAAGGGTGGGGAGGGAAAAATGTCTTTGGTAGTGGGGCCAGATTGCAGATGGTGGAAGTGCTGGAGGATGATGCGTTGGCTGCCTTGAGGAGGGACCACTCTCTCCGTGACTCCCTTGTCTGCTTCACACTCCCCACCAGCCCCACCAACCCCGGCACTTTTCCCTGCAACCGCAGGAAGTGCTACACCTGTCCCTACACCTTCCCCCCTCACCCCCATCCCAGGCCCCAAGAAAACCTTCCACATCAAACAGATGTTCACCTGCACATCTGCTAATGTGGTATACTGTATCCACTGTTCCCGATGTGGCCTCCTCTACATCAGGGAAACCAAGCGGAGGCTTGGAGACCACTTTGTGGAACACCTACGCTCAGGCCGCAACAAACGACTGCACCTCCCAGTCGCGAACCATTTCAACTACCCCTCCCACTCCTTCGACGACATGTCCAT